TTCAGGTCTATCTGTGGAATGTATCTTCTGTCTTTCTTTTTCTATTGTTTGTTTGAGGGTGTGTGCTTTGTCAGGGCTGGATGTCCCTCGTCACATCTCAGATTGCCTAGTTTGTAGATTTTCCCATAATGCATTTAGAATCGATGCTGTAATTTTCACAAAGGACAGGATTTGCGTGCAGTGTACAGATATTCCAATGATCAGTCCAAAGCAGAGCATAAGAAAGACACACACACACATATATATTCCAAAGTTGTAATTATAACATTCCAAAGTTGTAATGTTTGTAATTTTTAGGCCTGGAAATGGGTTTAGAAATTAGGACTATGTAAATGTAATTATAAATTAAATTGGGCATTGATATATTTATTGACATAATATTTATATAAAATACAACATATCCAAATATGCCATAATGGAAATATCTATCTGTCTGTCTGTCTGTCTCTCTCTCTCTCTCAAATATGACATAATAAAATACATTAAATGGATAAAATATTTGGATAATAATCGGATAAAACTGCTCTGTTGGTGCATCTATGTAAAGTCATTTTTAATATCCAGATGCACTACTTTTCTAGATATTCTCTGTTCTTTTTTTAATGTAGGTCTATGACATTTTATTTTTTACGCCTTTTTTATCTCCTATTTATTATTTATTTGAAGAAACCCTTAACCCTAATTATGAGCAACAATAATAACAGTGATTGTTGCCTTAGCAAGCACCACTAACAAGTTCAACAATATGCAACTCACAAAGCCAGTGATTTTAGATTTAGTAACTAAAAGGCAAGTGTCGTACGTGGGAAGCATGGGTGGGAGTTGCATGTGGATTGAGAGTTCAGTGGCAGTACTTTAGAAGACTGATTCCAAGCCTTTTCCAGAGGGCAGAGGTTGAAATTAATGCAGTGCTGGATAGGTAGATGCTCAGATAGTGCTCTCAAGGCCCCTTTGGAATTACGATATGTGCAGGAGGATAGAATTAATGGGAGGTCATTGAGTTCTTGTTTTTTAGCTTCCCACCTTTGCCCTTCTCACTTATTTTCTTCTCTAGCATCCATGTGAGACGTGAGTTTGAATGATGATCATGTTGTACAAGGTACTGGTTCATATCTTGAGGTTTTTGGCTTTGCTTTGGTGGCCCTCAGCCATCTAAAGACTTTTTAAAGGTTCTGTTCATTTTTAAGGCTCAGCTAGAAACTCTTTCGACTTTCATATCCCAGCATAACATGTGAATAAGGTGAAAACACAGGCTGCCATTTTTTGTAACACCTGTTTAGTCTGTAATTTCACTTTGACAGCATGGCGGCAGCCTGTCAGGAGGCATCATTCAGGTCCCATAATTTGTGTAATTGTGGACCGAGAGTTTTCCAAGAGTTTTGTGTGCGTTTAGCTTGAGGAGTGAGTACCTATAAGATTAATTGTTAAATTAATTGGCCTCCAGGCAGATGGGCAGTGAAGGTCGAACACTCAGGGCGTTTTTTTCTTGAAAGTCTTTGTGCTGAAAGCATTCAGTCACAATATTATGTCAAGGTTTTTGACTTTTCACTTTTAATGTTAATTTTATAATCAAACTTAGAGACATTAAGAAAGATCTTTATGAGCCAGACCTTGAACTAGAGGCTTCAGTTAGTTTTTGACCTTGAGGTTCAAGGTTCGAATCTGACATGTATCATATCCCTATTTGTCGTGCATCATATTCCTTCTCTCTCTCTCTCCAAAATAATTCTTGTATCTGCTCTTCTGTCAGTAAAAAGTTGCAAAAGCCCCCAAAATAAAATAGAAAACGCCTTTTAAAAAGTATTTTCATGCATGTGATGTTCCTCATTTGTAAGTGCCAAAAGATTATAGTATTTATTGATATTTTGAACTACATTTTATTTTTATATTTCCCGTTTTCGTTTTAATTGGTTTAATTTTTTGTTTTATGCAGCTTATTTCTTTAAAATAATTCTGTTTAGCTTTTTTCAGATTTAGTTTTAGTAATTTTAGTACTTAATCTTAAACTTATTTTATTTAAGTTGATTGCCAAGGCAACATTTCTATTTCTATTGTTTTTTTTTGTTTTTTTTTTCATTTTAAGTTTAGTCTTTCCTTTTAATATTTATATTTTATATATTTCAAATATAAATAAGTAAATGTCTTCATGTCCTTTCATTGCATATGAATGTATTAAAGTAATATTTATACTATTTTTTTACAATATTATTGTGTTTATTGATATTTTGAAGAAGCTTTCATTTTAAAATTTCGTTTTCATTTTAATTTTAGTTTAAAATTTTGTATCTTTTACGTACTTTTGTCATTTTTATTTATTTTTATAATATAAATTTGTTTAGCTTTTAATTTATTTTTATTTCAGTTTTTGTAATTTTAGTACTTCAATTTAAACCTAAGTTTATCTAATTTTAATTATTCTAATTTTAATTTTTTTAAGTTCAAAGGCACAATGTGTAAGATTTTTTTTAATTAAAATATCCAAAAACCATTAGAACAGTGTTATATATTTTGCTGACTTGTGTACTTACATTATCCCAAATGTTTCGAAGAATGTTTAAATCCAGAGAAATAAGCAATTTTATCTAGTGACACGGAGCGTGTCCATAGTGTCATTGTGTCGCATGCCAATGACGCCATAACCCCTCGATTTCCGGTTTTGTTTTGTTTTGTGGAAAACATGGAAACACCAAAGACGCTT